TTATTTAGCCTGAAGAAGAGAAAATTGAGGGGAGATTTGATGACTGTTTTCACATACCTGAAGGGCATTTGAGTATGGAGGTGGGCTTTCCTCTGTGGCCTTAGGGCCTTAAACTGCAGAAGGGTAAGTTTAGGTTGGGGATTAGGGTGATCAAGCATTACAGTGGGCTACCTAGAGAAATGGTGAAATCTCCATCCTTGGAAATTTCCAAGAGCAGGTTGGACAGACACTTGGCTAAGATGGCATAGGGGTCTGGGCTAGACGGTTTCCTGGGTTAGGGACAGACATTCAAAAAAGTCTGACTTGATTCAATCTTTGCAGGTTAGTCTAACTTGGCTAGTCTAAATCAGTTTGTAACTGTACAGACATCCCAGACATACAGGTACATGCCTGCAGTGGCTCAGGTTAGAATCTTGGGGGGGACAGTGCTTAAGCAGCCCTCCCTTCCCTTTCATTGTGCTGAGCTGAGGTGGGGTGTGGCCAGGCCTGGCAGGACACTCTGATTAGGGAGGGGTCCCCTCCCTCCTGACCAGCCCAGCAGGGAATTGATAACACAGTGTTTATCACCCCTAACTAAGTGTTTATCACCCCATTAAGAAACTACCTGTTGATTTTGCCTTTGTGCTGTCTGCCACAGCATGGACTGTAGCCAGCATATGGTCTGCTAGCTAATACACAGACACCTCTTAGGAAGGCAGGGGGGAGCGGGGAATTCCTGCTTAGCAGGGAGTGGTGGGGTGTGGTCTAAAAAGGGAGGAGCAGCCTGTAGTCCCTGCCAGAGCTGCAGCCAAGGAGCAGAGGGGAAGGGCCACCCTGCTGTAGAACAGAGAGCCCTGCCCAGCCCAGAGAGCATGCCAGGATGCTGGGGGAGTCTGATTAACTTAAACCAGCAAGGGCTCTGGGACAGACATTGCATAAACTGGTCTGACACAAATCAGTTAAGTCTGATAGTACATTCAACCAGGTTTATTTCAAACTGGTTTCATCCATTTTTAAACTTTTTTATGTGTACTGAACATCTGTTCTGTTACAGTTTTAAACCAGTTTCTGATCACTTAAACTGGTTTATGTCTAATGTCTGTTCTTAACCATGAGGTCCCTTCCAGCCCTATTTTTCTATGATCCTATAAACATGTGAAGGCCAATACCTTACCACATGTTTTACTTTTGCTCTGTTTTTAGATTTATGTTCCAAGAAAATAGAAAAAAAATCATGAGTAGATGGATTTTTCTTCTGGGCTTTTAAAATATTATTTAATAAAAATCAGCTTTATTGGTAGATTTTATACCCATGGAGAAGTTGAATACTGCTAAGGACTAACACTAATTCCCTCTAAGCAAAATACTTCATATACCCCTTGGGAGGGAGGGAAGACAGTTAGGATAGAATATCTTTTTCTTTTTCAAGGAAATTAAATTGACGTTTGTTTTAAAAAGAAATTTAGATATACATGTAATATCATTACCCTGTAAATAAGCAGAGAATGTTAACATAACTTGCAGATGTGTAACTGTTAAGTCCAGTATAGTACACATTTCTTTTTTATGTGTCAAAGCTTGAACATGAGGGTCTTCTGACAGGTGATCAAGTGCACAGGCTTTGAAACTTACAATAATGAAATGTTTCTACTACTTTTGACACGCTGTTACTAGTGAATGGAAATAATTAGCAAGAGAATGATTGTATCACAGTTTTATAAAAGTAAAATCAGTGATAAGTCACACTTCATTTCATACTGCAACCACTTCATGTCCAGTGAAGGAATATCTAAGAACGTTAACCAGAAGCACCATGTTTTAAATGGGCTGATGAGTGGTAAAAGCAAATTAAATACACGTAGATCTCAAAGCTGTTCCTTATGGAAAGGAATCCTAAATGTTATAAGACAAATTGTCATGTTTGCAGTACTTACAGGGCAATTTTCTGGCCGTAACTGCTATATATTTCTTCTGAAAGGAATCTTAGCTAGTTGGTAGAAAGCTGTTAAAACGAGTCCCTGTATTAGCCACCCTGCCTTCCATGCTATCACAAGAGGTAAGCTCTAGGCCAGTGGTTCTCAACTTTTTTGTACCAGGATCCATTTGTAAACATCAATGGCCAGTCCTTACCTAGTGCCACTCATTCCCAACCTACTGCTTCCTACCCCCAGGCCCAGCCCACAGTGTGTGGCCAGGGGATGGGTTTGTGGGGCATGGGGGTGCCCAAGCAGCGCCTTGCATGCTGGAACTCTGCCAGCCTGCTGGGGAAAAGCCACCGTTTCCTGTGTTTTTCTCCTTTAAAGGAGAATCTATTTTTAGAAATTGTTTGTGACCCTTTCATATATTTATGTGACCCACTTTTGGATCATGACCCACAAGTTGAGAAACGTTGCTGTAGGGCATGATGGGGCACAGCAATGTTCCATTCTATGGCAGAGCCCAGACAAGCACAGAAGTGTACTATGTGATGCTGCAGACCCATTTGCAGCACTACACACTGCACATGCAGGTGTTCCCCATGCTGCTACCTTGTAACACAGGGTTGTTTTTGACCCCAGTAGATCCTAGGGTCAAAAAAAAACCCACACCAAAAAAAGCAGGGTGGCACACGTGGTGGCAGCATGCCCTGCCCAAAATCAGATCCCAGCCAGCCAGAGTCATGCTTTGGCTGCTGGCTAGACCCCCAGCCTCAGGAGCGCCGTGGCTGCAGCTCCTTGGGGCCCCCAGGACCCCAGGTAAAGCTGTTGGAACCAGCACAATTTATAGCCGCAGACTCCCCTACCCAACCTGGGGTAATCTGCTGTGTTCCTGAGCATGCATGACATGGCCATTCCCCAGGGACAAGTAGCAGTGGTACAAGGTGTGCTGCTGCTACTTGTCCCTGGGGAAACAAGCATCTATGCTCATCTGGATGTAGCCTATGAGGCCATTCCACAGCTGACATAAACTGCTTAAGCTCCTGCTGGGATGGAGGGAGGTTAAGATGCTCTAACTGGTTCTTCCTGTTTCCCCTACCCCCCACTCTATCTTGTGTGGACTGAAGCTTTGCTTGTGGTAGAGAGTCTCGCCCTGTCCATTTTTGTGAAATTCCACTGCTGTCAATAATCAGTCAGCAGTCACTATTTAAAGTAGGAGGCCAGATGATTTCGCTGTTGAAAATAATTATCTGGCAAAGATATGCGAGAAGCAAGGATTTCTTAGGGTAATGTGTTTTATTGGACTAACTGCATAGTTGGGATGGAGTTAACTAAGCTTTTGAATGCAAGACATTCTTCATCAGGTGTGGGCATATCTACATGTTCATTAATGTGCCTTAGATACTGTGCATTTACCTTAGTACTTCCTTAATAAAGCACTAACTAAATGCACAGTACCTAAAGTTACCACGCAGTACCTCCGGTGAACAGTTATTTAGTGATGTTTACTGTGCATTAGTCTAATAACATTGCACAGTAGGCTATTAGCATAGTATTTGCTATGACATGCTACTGTGCAGTAGGGCTGTGTGAAATTTCAGCAGCTGTTTTGTTTCAGAGGTATTTCGGGCCATTTCAATGCCTGAAACACCAAATCCAAATCAAAACGGAAGGCTCCAAAACATCTCCAAAACAAAGCAAGGCATCCAAAATGTTTTGGAAATGTTTTGGAAAATTGTGGAGTTTTGGAGCCGGACCTGCAGGGAAACAGCTGTACATTGCTGCCCTGCCATGTGACTCGGCTCCGCAGGGAGCAGAGACATGAGCCAGGGGTCTCCTCACAGCCACTGCCTGCTTCGCACTGCCCCAGCTATGTGGGGCTGCGTGGGGCAGGCAGCAGCAGTCTGCAGAGCCAGGTTGCACAGCAGGGCAGTGCTGGTCCCTGCCATGTGACCTGGCTCCACAGGGAGCAGAGACCTGGAGCTGCATGGGGCAGGCAGCAGCGGCAAAGAGATCCCTGGCATGGATCTCTTCTCCCTGAAGAGCCAGGTCGCACAGCAGGAACCAGCAGGCTTGCTCACCACTCTGCACTGCTTCCCTGCCCCATGACCTGGCGTGATATGGATCAGAGATCCTCATGAGGGGCTCCTCGCCTGCACAGAAGGCAGCAGCCCTCCCCCTCCCCCAGATGAGCCACTCATAGCCCTGTCCTGCTCCCTGCTGGGGCCCTGCAGCCCCTGGCCCCAAGCCCCACCTGGCTGGGCAGTAGCGCTGTGCAAAGCTTGCCACCCATTCAAAACAGATTTGGAGGAGCCGAATCTCGAAAACTCATCACTGTCCTCCAAAATGGCCGAATCCAAAGCCGAACTGAAATACAGCCATTTTGCACAGCCCTACTGCGCAGTGTTATTAGGCCAATGCACAGTAAGCATCTTGTGTAGATGTGCCTTCTGAGCAGTAAAACCACTGGGCATTTTTACACATGCAAGCACCACAGTGCCAGGCACTTTGAAAAGTACCCAGCACTGGGACACTTGCAGTTGTATAAGTGGCGAAATGCGCATCACCACTGACAAAATGGCAGCAGCACACTTTTGAACTAAAACATATAAAAGGTGCTTTAGTTCACCACCACCATTTTCTGTGCATTGATGTGCATTTCGCCACTTATACAACTGCATGCGATGCAGCACAGTGTGTCAGCTTGCCTTCAGAGCAGACTCAATTAATTGAGTCTGCTCCAATGTGTCAGATCTCTAATACACTGTGGGACCAAAAAGTATGTATATAAATGCCCACTTTCCTCAGACCTGGCTGGTCCAATAAAATATTTCATCCTAAGACATCCTTGCCACTAGCATAATTTCTGGACCATCACATCTAGAACATCACTCTAGCACTACAGTAACTTGGAAAAGATAGATATTTACAGATTATAATAATGAAAGAATAGTCCTTTGGTCTCACTGTAGAGGAAAAGAAGAAAATTGGTCTGTGCATCATGCCCTATGTGTTTGCATTAACCAGAGCAAAAAAGCTAGATGATCTGTTCCTTCCATCCTGGGTACCAATTGATTTTTTTTTCTTTCTCTCAAATTGTAATAGGTGAGGAATGATCTAACAGACGTTTTGTATGGTGAAGATATTGAAATTTCAGACACTGAGAGTTTCTCCAATGATCCCTGCACAGGTGTCAAGAAGCTCAAGGTATGTGTTACTGTATTCTTTACACCGGAGAAGAATACAAAGATATCAGTTGTGCTCCTGTCATGGCATTTGTTTGTTTGGGTTTTCTGTCCTTCAAGAAAACTAATAAACAGTTAAAGGTCAGTAGAGCTAACTGTTCCCGGTGTGGCAGTAAAAAAGTGATCCATTCTTCCAGTTAATGTAGACAATGACTTCACAGACAACTCTATTATAGATTTCATGTTTTATCTAAAGTTTTATCTAACTTGTAGATGCTGCTGTCTATTAAAGAATGTGCATATCTTTACTTATGAATTATTTGTAATGAAAACCTAAATCTTTGTGGTGTAAGCTTATTTACAGGTACAGGTGGTCTGTTTATAAAGGACTCTGGGTCCAGATTGTCATTCAGTGAATTCAGTAGGAGTCTTCCCACTGACATGAATTGGGTGTTGGATTGAATTCTTTATTAGAATTTTCTTTATTAGAATTTAAGTCTCGGCCTTTTGGCTTAGATTAAGTGTATGATCTATTCTGTTTCTAAGAAAATAACTTATTCAAGGATAAATTTGATATTGAAAGTGTTTATCATTCTTTTCTTATTACAGCAATTTGTTAGGCTCATAGTGATTGACTATGCAAATTAAAAGTATATATTAATATGTTCATGAAGTATGACCAACCATAACATTAAGGAGACCGGCATGCTCATAAATTCAAAGTGTAAGAAGAGGAAAAGTTTTTTTCATGCCATCTATTTTCTGAAGCAAATCTAGTCCTGGGTCCCAAACTTTCAGACTTAAATGTATGCTTAATGTTAAGCATATAAGTAGTCTGAATGAATTCAACAGGATTAAAAGTCAGCATGTGTGCCTTTTCTTTACAAGATTAAGACCCTAATGAAGTCTCTTTCTTTAAAAAAGAGAAGAAAGACTGCCAACATGCAGTTAAGGGTGCCATCTTATTCCCCCTGACTTCAGTGGTTGTAAGATTAAGCCAAGCTTAAAATAAATAGTCAAAGATCACATAAGTAAATTCTTTATATCAGTGTATATAGAGAACAGGGTTTAGATTTATATACAAAGGTAACTATATTATTTCTTGGCTTTATGTACATGCACATAAAACCTTAGCTTTCTCTTAATGCAGTATTTTTATCACAGGATCAAACAGCATTTAGTTGTACATATATATTTACTGGTGAACAAAGTTATCAATAGTGAGAATCTCATGGGGGTAGATTTATAACATTACTGATGCTACCTGCTTTCAAGTAGATCAGAAAGGCTAACAGCAGTTTTCCTAATATTTTTAATGCCAATGCTACAATGTTTGGGGGATATGCCAAATGTGAAAGTAAAAGCTCAACAACTAATTGTTAAAGATCCCAGAGCAGTCTTATGTGCATTTATCTGTTTTAAAGGGCTTGGGCAGTTCTTATTTTGTCCAGAACAGTTTTTTATTCTTACTGTTCAATAACATTTAAAAATTATTGAACAGATGCTTTATTCTGAATGAGTAGCAGCTGTTGGCTATTTCATGGCAGTGGTGTTCCCTTACTTCAGAGCCCTTCTCCCCAGAACTCAGGGAGTGCTTACCCTTACCCCCAAATGGGATTGATCCTGACCTTAGATACAAGCCTATACATTTGAGATCTGAATAAAGTTTAATATCTTTAGAAAATGCATGCATAATATTGGATGTTTTCCGCACGTGGTATGAAATCTATCATGTTTGTAGGTTTGGCACATTAAATTGTATTGTTTTTTTTGAACAGGGGGTTCCCATGGGCTGTAAGCATAGCATGTGCAGATGTGCATGTACCTCATATAGAGTTAGCATCCCCAACTTATCCTTTTTGGGGGAACTTTCCTTTAATCTTAATTAAGAAATCACAGCCCTTTACTACTTCCTAAGTAGAGCTGCTCCTATAGATTGCCAGACAGACCTCCTGTGTTTTGCCTCTTGTTCTGTCTCCTTTATTTCAGGAGTTTTTATGTTCCTTATCTGTAGCCAAGAAGACTTAGTGACAAGTCTGAGTCATAGAAACAGGCATGCACTGTTAGGTTCAGTTTTAGTCCCTGACACCAGAAGAATTAGAACATTGCACCTGGATTTATTTAAGCCAATGTATGATTTGGCACAGAAGCAAATAGGCATAAGCTAGCCATAAGTAAATTATCTCTGGAAATTTAGAAAAAGGTTTTTGAGTAGTGTGTTGAGGAACAACCTTTCAAAGAATTTCTATGCACAGGGGCAGATCCAGAGAGGGTGCAGTGGTGAGGACACTGCCCCCTCTTTCATTCAATGCCATGGGAACAGCAGCCAAGGGCTTTTAAATCTCCAAAGCAAGTAAAAATCCCATTCTCCTCCCTCCTCCACTCCCCTGCCCACCACTGCCACTGTCTCTGGATGCCCCAGGGACAGGGATAGGAGAGGCTTCAGAGCTGCTCCTGCTCACTCCAGCTGGGCTCTGCAGGGAGCTGGACTCAGTTGGGGGCAACCGGATCAGCAGATGGGTTCCTCCTCCCTGCTGAGCCCCACAGGTGTTCCCCACCAGCCCAAGAATAGGTGCAAGGGAAGGGAATCTGCCATCACCACCACCACTGCTGTCTCTGGCCAAGCCTGGCCCCCCAGGCAGCCCAGCTGGAGTGGGACAGGAACAATTCTGAAGTTTCCCTCCCCATTTTTCCCACCCCCAGGTCAGCTCGGGATAGCAGCAGTGGCAGGTGGGGGAGGGGAGGGGAGGAGAGGAGAGGAGAGGGACAGGCTGGTGAAGAGGAGCAAGAAGGGGGAAGAGGGAGGAGAGAAGAAGGGAAGGGGAAGGGCAGCTTCTTACCTGATCGAGGGATTCTTACCTAAAAAGACCCTGGCTGCTATTCCTGTGGCATGTTCTGCCTGCTCCGTTTTGGGGGAGACTGGGAGCAGGGGTGCAGCCACCCATGAAGCACTGGTCACTGCTCCCTCACCCCCCTTTTCAAAATTTTGGATCCACCCATGTCTGGGTGTGAGCTAACTCAGTAGTTTTAAAAGGGAGATTGATACATTTATGACCAAGATTATATAACCTGATTGTCTGTAACATTTCATAGATTCATAGGTGCTAGGGTTGGAAGGGACCTCAATGGATCATCGAGTCTGACCCCCTGCCAGAGGCAGGAAAAAGTGCTGGGGTCATATAACCCCAGCCAGGTGCTTGTCCAGACTCTTCGTGAAGACCCCCAGGGTAGGGGAGAGCACCACCCCCCTTGGGAGCCCCTTCTAGATTCTGGCAACCCTTACTGTGAAGAAGTTCTTCCTAATGTCTAACCTAAATCTGCTCTCCGTCAGCTTGTGGCTGTTGTTCCTGGTTATTCCAAGCAGTGCTCTGGTAAACAGCACATCTCCTATTGCCTGCTGCCCCCCTCCCCTCCTGGTGAATTTGTATACTGCCACAAGGTAGTCCCTCAACCTTCTCTTGCAGAGGCTGAAAAGGTCCTGGCCCTCAGCCTTTCCTCACAGAGCCTTCCCTGCAGGCCTCTAACCATACAAGTGGACCTCCTCTGGACCTTCTCCAGGTTGTCCACATCCTTCTTGAATTGTGGCGCCTAGAACTAGACACAATACTCCAGCTGCAGCCTGAGCAGTGCCGCATAGAGGGGAAGCATCACCTCTTTGGACCTGTTTGTGATGCATTTACTAATGCATGACAAAGTGCGGTTAGCTCTGCTAATTACTTCGTCCCATTGATGACTCATTAATGTTGGAGTTGACGACAAATCTGAGATCTCTTTCTGCTACTGTGCAGCTGAAAAGGTCATCCCATAGCCTGTAAGTGTGCTGGTGATGCCCTCTGCCTAGGTGCAGCACGTTGCACTTGTCCTTGTTGACCTGCATCCTGTTGTTCTCTGCCCACTTCTCTAACCCATCCAGGTCTGCCTGGATTTGGTTTCTTCCAATCAGTGTGTTTGCTTCACCCCATAGTTTGGTGTCATCTGCAAATTTGGATGGAGTACTTTCCACGCCCTCATCCAGGTCGCTGATGAAGATATTGAACAGCACCGGCCCAAGGACCAAGCCTTGGGGGACCCCACTGCCCACATCCTTCCAGGTCAATACCAACCCCTCCACCACCACTCTCTGGATATGACCTTTAAGCCAGTTTGCCACCCACCTTCCTTGCAAGGTGAATTCTACCAAATAATATTGATGCCCTCCCTTTGGGCAAAAAAGGAAAAATTCACTGGATCAATACCTACCAAATGCATGAAACCCATATTTGCATCTTCACAATGAATCACTACACCAAAAAATGTGTGTGTGTCTAGGCACATGGCATTCTGAGACTCCATCTATATGTTAAAATTAAGGCATGATTAACCAGTTGATCATACCTTAAGTTGTGACTCAGCTACACATTTAACAATTAATGGCGTCATAAAATAGGCAATAAGATACAATGTCATTCCACAAAAAATGTGTAATAATGTTTTAGCTTGTTCTTGTCATGCTATTGATGGAACTTGTGGCCAGGTACTCCCCTGTGCCTGGGAGCCCCACCTGCTGCCAGTCAAGCAACTGACAAGGCTCGCAGTGGCAGCAGTGTTCCCAGTGCTGTACCCACTGTGATCCTCCGCAGCTGCAAGGCTTTCAGTGGAGAGAATGCTGCCCTCATGTGGGCCCTGTCAGCTGTAGGGCTTGCAGCCATAGGAGCCAGTGCAGGTAGAGTGATCCCAGGATCCCCCTGCCCCAGCAATAAAGTGTGATGAGATCTGATGTACGATCCTACAATCATGCATCCTGCCACGCACGTGTGGAATGGCAGGAGGCACAATTGTGTGGATTTTGCAGTAGATTCCATTGCACCTTTACCTGCACATGTACAGGGCCCTGAATGTGAAAATGGGATGATGCTTTCATGTTACAAGTTATAACTTAAGCATCCATTTCTGAAAACATGGCCTACAATATTCCAATTCTTCTTCAAGGAGGTGTTTTGCTGGTATAGGTTAACTGGTATCTATTATTTTGACCTGCAATCA